CTATTTATATTCATAATATTGTCTGTACAAAGGGTGTGATTGAAAGTCCACTCTAGTCAATAGGGTTCTCCAGTGAATGTAATTGGTTTTGAATTAGGCCCTTAGATAACATAACATTGTGCTTTCAAGTATCTCAAAATTCCAAACAATAATTAATAACTTTTTAAATACTTACCATTATCCTCATTTTCAAGATTAATAAAGTGAGGCACGTCAAAGGTCAATGATTGCCAAAATCAAACTTAATCAATGCCTGAAGTGTGTGAGGAGTTTTGCTTAATCTACCCACCAGAGCCCAAATTGGTGAGAATTTCTGCTGAATCTCTAGCTGTAGTACAGCCCCACCACACAGACCCACAATGTGGACATTGCCTGAAAGCCACAATTTGATTAAAGTCAATGGGATTTTCTCTTTTATTGTCAAAATGTATCAGTGAGCAGAGAACTCTGACTATACTACAGTTAGACCAACCATCACAGTGGACATTCTGTTAAAATTCCTAACATGCTGAGTTACAACCTTTTATTTATTCCTCATGTGTTACATGGGAATAGTGTAGTTTGAGAAGGACAGAAGAAATGTTTTAAGCACTCACAAATAACTGGTCTCAGACCCCTCTGGAACCACAACTTACTTAATATATAACTTACACAGTTGTGTTACGTTGGCCATCTGAGAAAATTCACTTACTTCTATCGAAGGCCTGTATGCCAAGTCTTGCGATGAACACCACAGGTATTATCAAAATTGCTGCAGTATTGCACAGTGCCAACCAGCTCTTCCAGAGGCCAGGTGGAGGACTGACTTGAGCTCAGTGCCCCAATAGCAGTGCATGGGCTGTTATGTACGTGTACATCTCTTCCCAGGTCTGTCAAAGTGTTTATGATCTTAGTGTCCTCTCTAGCGACTAGTCCAGTCAGAGCCCCATACAAACATGAAAATGTTGATGCATTTAAAGAAATATTGATAAATATTTAATTTTTCAAGAATAACTTTTTTTATTATACTCACAGTGCCTGCACTCAGCTAGCAACTTGTTTCCAAGGTTCTTAAAAGTGGCAACAATTATTAAGACAGAAAATATGCTGTGGAGTAGTAAGTATTAGTTCCATTTCAACGATGGATAAGCAGAAGTGCAATGAGGATCAATATTGATAAATATCCTATTATCTAGGATTAAATATGAAATAAATAACTTTCCATTTATATGACTGATGCTGTCTGCACTTAAGGTGTGATGGAAAGTCAATTGTAGTCAATAAGGGTCTATCATTACATTTATCTGGCTTTGGATTAGGTCCTGTGATGTGCCAAGAGCAGTACAAAGCAGAAGACAGTCCTTAATCTGGGAAGTTGACAGTAGAATCAGGATGTATAACCTTTCAGTTGATGACATTGCGGTTGCTTATATGAGGTCTCATAGTAGAGATTTTTCCTGATGGACATGCAGTCCAAGGGTACAACATCTCACAGGAGATGTTTCCAATAGATGAAACTATGGCCGATTGTAGGTGGTTTTATAGATGTTTCCCATGGATATCTGCCAAATATGTGGTCTCCTAGGAGTTGTTTCCTAGAGATGAGGCTGGAACCAGATGGCGTTTCCAGATGTTTCTTTCTAGCTTGATGAATATTCCATTTTGGACAAACATGGAACCTAAAAAAGCAGTCCAACATTTCCAGTTTAGTTTTCCATATTCTCCTGTGAGAACTTGTGAAAACTCATTCTTTCAGCAATCATAGGAGATATTGACATATCCTTCAGAATATCAAGTAAATTCATATGCTCATATCATTGGAACTAGGGAAAATGTGTAGGGAGGATGTGGGAGATGTTCTCTGGGCGATGGAAATTTAGTTTTAATTTACTAAACTAGAAGAAAGGAGAAGGTGGTGAGCAAAAGGAGAAAGTTTTTTGAAACCCATCTTACTCTTGCCTGTGAGGTGGGAAGCAGCTGTTCTAACATCAGTACAGGTGTTCTTTCCCCAATCAGTACAGCTGGTGATTAGGAAATTCAGCCTTTGTCAGTGGTTCTGCACATACAAAAAAAGGAAATGAACATGCAATATTCTAGAACTCTGTTTGGTGGAACTCTTGCAACTAGGCACTGTTTAATATTTCTTTGAAACTATGAAATACAAGGGGCAGTGTGAGGAAAACATATAATCTACCTTGTTCATTGACTATTTACAGGGTTTAGCCAACATCTACCTGAGCCTGGCTGCTAGCTGACATCTTTATCAGATAGGACACCATATGCTGAAAATACTGTAGCGTGAGATTTAACATCAGTCAATACCACACCATTAAAGAGGTGTATGTGTGTGTTTGATTAGGTAACTCACCTCCATTACAAAACTTGTAATGATCACAGGGCAATCTGAACAGGTGGTTGGCAAGAAGGAGGTAAACACTCACAATGTGTTTATTGCATAAGAGAGTAGAGCTAAATAAGATGTGGGTGCCAGAGGATTGGCTACTTACTGCAGTGTGATTATTGAGAACCATATGAAAGACCAAAACTTATTTAAGAGCTGACACGTTTTTACTTTTCACTTCTCTCCTCTTCCTCCTCCTGAGCTCTCTTGCCTCATTCTTCCTTTGGGGGAACCCATAGGCCCCGTGTGAGTTCAGGGGGTTCACAGTTCCTCTCCACCCTCCCTGATCTTGGGGCAGAAGGTCACAGACAATGCTATAATCTCCCACAGCAGAGATAGCAGAGATACTAGTTGAAAGGTTCAGACTGAACAAATGTTGCTTTGATATCAATGTTTTTGTTGGAATTGCCACAGGTAGTTGCTGGGTTCTCCTCTCCTCATCACTGTGGCCAGTAATGTTGCTCCTTGAGGGTGCAGGAGAGTGAGCACAGATATACATTTGGGGGCATCTGAAGTCTCTCTTTGGTTCACACTCCTGCAGGGGGCAATAAGCCCAGGGTCAGTCTCTTTGATGTGTTTCTACCTACAGGCTCTGCCTTTGTGCCAGGAAAGGAGTTTTTCACATCTCATCTAATGCTGTGGCACCAACCTTGTATTTAATGATAGAATAGATGGGCAGCAAACAGGGTATTCATGCAACTGAATTACAGGACAGTTCTGTCGAATTATCTGAGACTGCATCCTAAGATTATGGTCTTGGGGGTCCCTATTATCCTGACTTCACACTAGTAACTGCACCAAAGCTTTCTTGCAGCTCATATGCTGCATTGCTAGACATTATGGGAGTTTGTACAGTTGCGGCCATATCTCTGTGATGGATAATCCGAATCCCTGTCTTCTGGGAGGGACGAAACCTCTGATCAGTGTCTTGCTGGAGACGCTAAACCTCTTCCCAGTGTTCACTGAGGAGAATAAACCTCTCTTGAATGATCTGTTGTGTATGGGGGTAGAAACATCTCTTTCACCATGGACAGAATAAAGCTCCAGGAACTTAACTTGTTCTCATTCTTAGCATGTTAATAGAGATGACGTAGATCCTTGTTGCAATATGTTGTTCAGTTGCAGCACCTGCAGAGTTTCCAAATACAGTATAAGGGACTGGAATAATCCTCTTTCCTGCTGAACCCTGAACTCACTTAACTTTAGTTTTCAGCTCTGAGTTTTGGTTAGGTTTAACTACTTATCAGCTCTAAATAAGGATTCCTAATCTTTGTCCTCACTAGTTTTTGTACTACTAGGACGCCTGGTAGTTTGGAGATATAGGACAAGTATTTTTTCATTTGTGTTGTTTCCTGATTGCCATTGATGAAGGTTCTGGATTCTATCACTGGTGTCTTCTCTGCTACAAGGGAACTAGAAGAAAGGCAGATTTGCCATTTGGAACTGAGCTGTTCAATAAAAGGAACAGATATACTGCTACCAATCTGACAGTGTACATAAGTTTAAGGGATGAGGAGAACTTGTCTGGGCCACACAACATTTCTGAAAATAATACTGATCTCAACCCCAAAAACCTGTGTAGTATTTCCACAGCCTACAGTAAAGGAAAGGAGGCATTGCCTCCTACCATAGTCAAGGAATAAGGAACTCTGCATAAACATTGCAGATGTATTAATAAGTCAGCACCAGCAGGCTGGCAAAGGACAAGTTCCATCGTGCGAGATTTGTTAGATCTGGCCATAGGTCAGACCGTGCCCTGAGAGAGTCAGAGTTTTGTGCCTACTTAGAATGGCTGTAGGCTCTAGTTCTGAATTTTCGTTTTCAGCACCCAAAGCCCTGTACAAATTGACAAATAGAAAACCTGTTTTTGAGGTACACTCAGAGAAGAATGGCTGAGACTCTGAATAGTCACTGCGGGGAAGATGGTCAGTTGTCATTCAGGAAAGCCCCAGTCCAAAATATGAGGTTGGTCTTTGTAAAATAAGGATCTTCAGCTGCCAGTGATGGTTCAATGGCTGATGGTGGAGAGCTCAGCCTTAAAGGAAAGAAGAGTTGAAACATCAGCCGCTGAAGATTTATTCCCCTTTTCAGCTTTGCCAATCTGTATTTGACTTACATGTGTCTCAATTTTCCTTCTTTCCCTAATAAAAAGGGTGTTCCTTAAAAGAAGGCAATAAATAGAAGACTCTTTGCTGTGGTTGAGGAGGCAGGAATAGCAGACAAAGAACTATAGGGAGGGGAATAATGGGCTTTACATTTTTCACCAGTTCATTGTCTGCAGAGATTGTAGAGTCTCCAAGCAGGGATCTTGCCTCGATCCTTCTCTGTAAAGCACCATTGGAACTATATAAATGAGGGGGAAGAGTAAGACAATTCTCACTAATTATAGATGTTAAGATGTGGAGTCATTGCTGGGACTATTTAGTGGTCAGACAGTGCCCAAGGTGAGAGAGAGAAGGTGGAGCTTTCTTACAATGCCCGGAATGAGAGAACTGTCCTGCATTTTCAGGAAGGTGGCAGCACTATTCCTTATATGCATTTGAGTTCTTACAGAGCCTCTCCCACACACCATCCTTAATGTATGCACAAGCTAATATTAAAGAGAACTTGAATACTCACTGAAGAGGGAAAGGGGATTATGATTTCATGGCCAGGCCAAACTTTATGGGGCCAATGATTGAATGTGAGCATCAGAGTTGTCATACAATGTACAATGGGTCCTAAAATAAGAAAAAAATACAATTAGCAGCTGAACAATTCTCACTTCCACTTGTCCCCAATGTGCCATAATGGTCCTTGTTAATGCACAGCTAAATCCATCTCTGCAATTACAATCTCTTTAAATCCCCACTCCGTGCCTTGGACTTCTAATAAAATCCTTTCAGTACTGGTTGAGGCAGTAGAAAGAAAGCTAATTGTGGGGAGGGGAGCCACAAAAACCTTTGTATCCAAATATTTGTTTGTATCACTCCCTGGGACAGAGTTATCATGATCTATCCAAACAAGTAGAGGAAAATAAATATCTTACTCCGAATCCCAGGATATGTCTATAGTGCAATTAGACACCCACGGCTGTGGCTTGCACCAGCTGACTCAGGCTCATGGAGCTCAGGCTAAGGGGTTATTTAATTGCATTGTAGACATTCGGGCTCAGATTAGAACTTAGGCTCTAAGACCATACAAAGTCAAAGGGTCTCTGGGCTTGGACTGCAGCCTAAGTACATATGTCTATGCTGCTATTAGTCAGCCCCTTATTCTGAGCCTCACAAGCCCGAATCAGCGGGCATAGGCCATTCACTGGTTTCATTGTGCACATAGCCAGAGTGGCAGATTCCAGGCCCTGGGATTCTGAATAATAAGCAACAGGGCAACTCTGACTTCCAGCTAAAACTCCTCTGCCACAGCAGTGATTGAGTCTTTGAATCATGCATCCGATGAAGTGGGTTTTAGCCCACAAAAGCTTATGCTCAAATAAATTTGTTAGTCTCTAAGGTGCCAAAAGTACTCCTCATTCTTTGTGCAAAAAATGTTAGACATTTCTCCTCCACTGAAGTGCAGTGATATGGGAGAATATGACAATCACTAACTAGATAGTAGCAGGGTGAAGTCAGGAGGTTGGGAAAGGTCTATTTGCATTGCAAGAGAACGTTAACATGAGAAGGAATGGTTGGAGCTGGTTGTTGGTTAGAAAGAGCCCAGTGGAACGAGAGAATTTGGTTCTTCCTTACAATAACTGCAGAGAATCTTGTCTTCTGTTTATCTTTTTGGAATGGTGGCAACTGGATTGCATGTTTGTTCCAAATCTCTACACTGACATGTCCCCACACCTCCTCAGTATACACACAGAGGAAGAAAGTGAAGGAATCCCAATACTAACTCTGGGGCAGCAGGTGCACTCTGTTCGAGGAAAGCTTCATAAAGAATGAAGAGCTGAGCCTTGGTAGTACAGGGGCAAGCAAAAGAGGATCACCAGTTAAATTGGCTTATGATGGAGCACTCATCCTAAAATATGAATTGAAAGAAACATTAGCATCAGTAGAGCCATTCTCTCTTGTTGCTCCTATCTCCCTATAGGCCATAATCTACATTAACACTTTATGATCTCACCTTCCAGGAAGATCAATGTTAATCCAACTTCCTTCCATCATATATTAAAATCTCTCTTGTTTCATCAGCATAAATTTCAAATCAGGTTGGGGAACAGGGCTCCTGCTGTTGCCCTTGGTCCTTAAGGGAGAAAACACCATCTGATCAGGGACGAGACATGACATTACTCAGAGACAAGGAATCTTCTCCTTACAAGTGATTATTGGGGTCTTCAGAGGAGCTGGCAGTTCCCCCTTCCCAACACCAGACAGTAGAAATGCCTTTATAAAGACGCTATCATCATAGTAGTTGTCCTCACCCTGAGCCTGCCCTATAGTCTCCAGTGAAATACAGAAAGTGAAGCTGTCATCACACTAGCAAGGTGATTAATTCATTTTCTGTCCCTAATGCCCTTCTGTTTTCCTCTATGAAGAAAAGCCTCGTCACCTAGAAAAGTGGGTCCAAGGCTGAGGGCCTGAGCACTCCAATAGTATTTTAAACCCAGAGTTGACTGGGGTCTAGGCAGGACACAGACCTCTGGCTGTGGAAGTGTTTTTCAATGACTGCATCCACACTTGCTGAATGGTGGGAGTTCAGCTCCACACCCGCACTCACTGAAATGCTGTACTCTCAGGTGAGGAGGAAGGTGATCTCAGAATTACCTGCTGGATGAGGAATGACGTGGCTTTGTGACAGATAAGGAGCCTTCACCTGGGATGAAGAAGTATGTGAGGGGCCAGAGGGATGCGACAAATTGGCTGCGGACACGTGGTCCGGCATTCAATGGAGCCTTCATCCTAAATGAAATAGAACAAAATAGTAGCAGAGGGTGGGGCACTGGGTGGCGTCATTGCCTATCCATGTAGGGTGGCAATACACAATATGTTTGTTATGCTGTTCAATATCCCAATGAGTTCCTGATAATAATGTTTTATCAATAACCAAAGCAATTTAGGGACAGTGGTTTAAGACAGTGAGCAGTAGAGGAGCTAAAGCATTGCTGACTCGATATTGAACTGGAAAGCCCATTGAACATAGTAGCTTCATGAGTCTTTGCGGTACTTAGAAAAAGAATATTGAGGAATGGGATCTCTAAGAAGAACCCAGACATTCAGCCACACAACAGTCAAGAGATTATGAAGGAGACATGATAAGTTGCCTACAGGGTTATCTGTGAAGTTGACAGCCTATGTGCCATTCTGAGGCTTTTTGGCTTAACTATGTGGTTCAAACCCCCCGCCTCCCGCGCGCGCACTGTACAGTATGTGTAATACAAAACTGTTTTCTTACCAAGAAACCAGCACTGACTTCATGTAGTTCATCATCTTCCAATAAGTGCTCTGACTATAACTGGATAAAAACAGACATTTACACTAAGCATTAGAAAAATAGATAGAGTTAAATAACTAGAAAGTTAAATAGCAATGCTCTGGCCAAAGGGGAAAAACTGCCTAGAGCAGTAATTGAGGTTCCATCATTGGAGGTGTTTATAAGTGAGTTAGATCAGTGTATTCTCCCTTTCAATGCTGTAGATTTGGTAAGAACGTTCCATTTTCACGTACTTTCTCAATCCTCCTTGATTTTGTTCTCAGTTTATTTCTTCAAACCATCAGAAAGGGTTGTGTTTACCTCTCATGGTCTGTGGATAATAGAGAAGCACTGGTTTAGATGAATTTATGGTAGATTAATATAATAGAGAATCTTAAATTATGCAAGGTGGGAGGCAGGTAGAGTGGATGATATTCTAAATTCCACCCAATTCTGATGAGCAAGGAGACTACTCAGGAAAGGGCATGTTTCTCATCATGACTATCATCTTGTTTTATCATCTCCATTTACTGCAGGAGCAAAATACATAGATGCTACAGTGATTGGCACTACGTACAAACCTTTGATCACTAGCCAAAGAGGGGATTATAATTGACATTGGACGTATTTTTCCCTGGTGATTATCATTAATCACCTCATTAATGACACAGGACAGGAATTTATCCAGGAAAGATGCGATTTCTGCAGCTGGGCATGTAGTCAAACTGTTTCTATCTCATTCAACAGAAAGATGGAAAGGCCTTCCCTTCAGAAGCTCCCCAGTGAGCAAGTGTGACAAAGAAGTTTTCTGGTAGTTCCTTCAGGACAAGTCCAAAATTAGGGTTGGAGCCCTTGGAAATGCATTTTGCTTCTTTGCCCCACACAGCAGCTGCTTTTTCAATGAAGTTAATGTGATCATGAAACAAATAAAAAGCCAGCATTTTCAACCAAGAGCCAAATAACTCATCTGCATTGCTATGACTGTTAACTCTCCCAGAGCCGTTATGTAAAGAAACATCATAATATGCAGCCTAGGTGCTGCATTCCGGTATATGCTCTCCGACAAATCCTTTCCCAGATGTGCCATCATGCACCACAAAACTGGATAATACACAGGGTGCTGCCCTAGGACCATTTAGGAGCTGCTTTAGGTCCCTTCATGAGTATGTCTGAAATCTCTAAACCAGGGAGTGGGCACAATTGAGGGTGTGGCAAGATTACAAGTTAATATCTAGTTATCGTGGCAAAGGGTAGCTCACCTTATAGTAGAAACAGGTGCCACTGCTATTTCCTTATAAAGGACATAGTGAGCCCCATTGTTACTAAATTCAGACACACAACAATCCATGACCTGGATTTCAATCTAGGATTAGTGTGGGCCCATAAAATTCCTAAATTATTTACAGCAGGAAATGATTTTTTCCCTGAGTCTTTGAATATCACAGGATTTGAAACAGAACTGATGTTATTAAACCTACAGAATCATTATAATGTGGGGACTGAGTGGTTTAGGGGAATTGACTCTAGGACACGGTTACTTATATCAGGGGGTAGCCGTGTTAGTCTGTATCTATAAAAATAACAAGGAGTCTATCATCTACCTAGGATGAAATATGAATTCACATTCTATTTATATGAATAACATTTTCTGCACAATGTTAGTGATTGAAAGTCCACTGTAGTCAATAGGGGTCTCCATTTAATTTAATTGGTTTTGGATTAGGCCAAACATTACACTTTGCTTTCAAGGACCTCAAAATGCCAAATAATAAGTTATACAACATCTTTTCAAATCCTTACTGTTATCCCTATTTTAAAAGTGAATAAAGTGAGGTACCACGAAGGTGAATCGTTTCCCCAAACCACATCAAATCAATTCCTGCAGTGAGGGTAGAGCTCAAGAGTTGTGCCTCCCTAATCTAACTACCAGAACCCAATTTAGTGAGGATTCTTGCTGAATCTCCAGCTGTAGTACCCACCCTCCTGTCTGTTCAGGAGATTTCTCAGGATGAGGATGAAGAAGGTCTGGGGCCCCAGGAGGTTGTGGTGTGTCAGCCATGATGGGAAATTCCTTCCTTCCTTCCCCCTTCTCTTGTCCTTCAGTCAGGCAGCATTTCCCTTTGTTTCACTTCCACACCTCCCATATTTCCCCCCAAAGAACCAGAAAAGTGGGTGAGCGACGGAAGAGCCCATCCCCTCATTATTATGTTCATTAATTAGGCCTAATTTCTGCCACACCAATTTTGGTCCATCAATTTCTGGTCCTGCCCTTCTCTTGTTTACCAACCATGGTCTTAACAGAGTTCTTGAATTATGTCAGTAGGCCCTTTTGTTTTAACTAATCCAGTGTTTTTGTCTCCGTTTTGCACCTTTTCCCATCAACAGTTATTGTGATAGGTTATGGTGACATTTTATCAACAATCACTCACTGCTTACACTTGAATTCACAAGTAGGGTAAATTTGTAGGCCCAATTATGAGACCAGTAAATTGATTTGGTCACTGTGGTGCATTTTTTGGGGGAGCTGAATTAGTTTTGGTCACTGGGGTGCATTAGGCAGGGAGGTTGGACTGGTTTTGGGCACCTGGGTTGGGCTGTGGGGGATTGTATTGATTTACATCACCAGGGAAAGCCCCTCTACAGCAACAAATCAGTTCATTCATCCAGGAGGTTTTTACTTTTTCTCATGGTAGTTATCTTAGAAATTCTTAACATACACCTCTCGCCAGCCCTGCGTGTTAGATGGTGCATTGGGCATGTGGCTTGAGGAGAGTGTATGAGGTAAACAGAGTTTGGAGCAGCCATGGGATTTGAGCAGATCAGGGGGTTATAAAGCTATTAGCAGCACAGCTGGTTCCAGGAGCAGCCTGTGCTGTTTTGATGGAAACAAAAGCTGAGTGGCACAATAGTTCAGCGCTCCCTGGTAGTTAGTACCCAGGACAACCGCCCTGCTTGCCCACCCCTAGAACCAACCTGACTGGTTCAGTGTACTGAACTGACACTTCTTCTTTGACTGCTGTCCCTGTGGGTGCTCCACGGTAGGTGGTGTGTCCTGGCGCCATTCATTGGAGACTTTTGGTAGCAATGTCTGGTCAGGACGTGCATGCGTAGTAGGTGCCTTGTGTCGCCATTAGCGCTCGTGCGTCCCGGCCCCCCTCAGTCCCTTCTCAACCATCCTCAGCTGTAGATGGAGCTCCATGAGTGATGTCTGAAAGAGAGAGAAAACAAAATAATTAGATAGTAGAGTTAGTTAATAAGTAGCTATGTGTAGTAGATAGTGTAGATTTCATCTTAAGTTTTAGTTTTCAAATTAGTAACCTCCCCCCCCCAAAGTGGAGAGATCATGTCCCCCTTTGTTTTTATAAATAGTTAAAATGTAGTAAAATAATGCTAGGCTCGCCTGGATTCAAAAGATGCACTTTGTGCAAGAAAGTGATGACTGTCTCAGACAGACACTCACAATGCGTCCGTTGTTTAGGAGAGATGCATGTCCCTCAGAGATGCGCACACTGCAACAATCTCAAAGCCAGAGCAAGGAGAGACAAGGTTCCTGAGACTAAAAATGATTTTGATGGAGAAATCCCTTACTCCTCCATTGGACAACAATAAGGACCAGGGAGAAAAAACTCCAGGAACTGCCTCCCTGGACAGGGGAAGCACCCTAACCTCCAGAAAAATCGAGGAAAAGGGATGCCTCACCCTCGCAGAGGGAGCCATTAAAGAGAAAATGGTCTCTGGTGAGATCATTACTCTCCATGCCGACGGCCAGCAGGATTAGCACAGTCAATGCTCTGGGCACATTCAGCACCGGCTGCATTGTGAGCGCGAACAATAAAGAGAGGGAGTCGAGTGGAAGGCATAAGACTGTCTCCTCCTCTGTCAACCCCAAGGAAAGACCCGGTGCTGACAATACCTAAACCGGTGATGCCACCCCCAGTACAGACTCCATCAGAGCAGTTACCAGCAAAGGCTAAATCAGCCACATTGGCACTGACTAAAGTGATACACAAGAGGTCAGTAATGAGGCAAGTCCCCTAACAGACGTATACGGCACCAATGACCCCGGCCCTGATCGGACCAATAACATCAACACCAGGGTCCTCTATACTTGATACCGATGACTCGCTGGTGCCGTTGGCAGTGATAAACCAAGACCCAAAGTCTGTGCCACACTTCTCTAGCGAGGAGGAAGAAGATATCGAGGAGGGAGTATTCTACTCAGGTCACTCCTCCCCCTCCGGTGCTGAACCTCAACCGCCACTTACTAATACCAAAACACGTCCGAGCAGAGATATGCCTCCATGGTTGACCAACCCATGGATGTGCCCCCCCCTTCCATTCCCACTGCAATGGACATATTGGGACCCATGAGTAACGTACAAAGTGCAAATGCAAGGGATCCGTGTCCCTCAAAAGAAGCAAATACAACCACTTGCAGAGACAGCCACAGAACCATCACAGGCTCCTGAGGAAACTATAGAGGAGTTGGATGAAACATAAGAAATGTCACCGGACCACAACTCCTCTTCATTGCCAGAAACAATTCCAAGAATTGTTTAAGAGAGTGGCCCAAAGCCAAAATACCACGCTGGAAGAGGTGACGGAGAATCAACATCAGCTACTAAAGATATTCCACCCTACATCCACAACTAAAATAGCACTCCCGGTGAATGCCACACTGTTGGAACCAGCAGACGCAATCTGGCAAACTCTAGCTACCATACCACCAACGAGTAAGAGGCCGACAGAAAGTATTATGTTCCCAATAAAGGAGTGAACTTCCTATTCTCCCACCCCCAACCAAATTCATTGGTGGTGGGCACTGTAAATCAGAAGGATAAACAACCCCAATTCAAGAGTACACCCCATGACAAAGATGCCAAGAAATTAGAGCTCTTTGGCTGAAAGGTATATTCGTCTGTGACCCTCCAATTCCGAATGGCTAATTATACAGCACTGCTGGCGACATACAATCATGATAACTAGCAAAAAATGAATTAATTCCTACCTCATATCTGAGGAAAGGAAGGAACAGTTCCAAGCAATAGTGGCAGAGGACCAACTAATAACAAGAACAGCATTACAAGCTGCACTAGACACTGCTGACACAGCAGCCTGTACAACAGCTACGGCCATAGTAATGAGGAGAGCCTCCTGGCTACAAGCATCGGGCATATCCAGAGAACTTCTACTTTTGATTGAAGACTTCCCTTTTGCTACAGAAAAATTATTTTCAGCAAAAGCTGATGACGTCTTGCACTCACTAAAAGACTCCCAGGCAACTATGTACACAAGGAATATAAACCCCCCCACCACCACCACCCAACAAGATTCCAACCATATAACAGGAACTGGGACAACCCAAATTAATGACAACAGCAATGTCCATTTGACAAATGTGTGCTCGGTGGCAAGATCTAAAGACATTGACCACCACAACTTCCAGTGCAAATTACATCCCATACCCAAATCTTTGGCTATTGTCTTCGACCATTCTACTGAGTGTGGGCAGCCATTATGATGGACAGCTGGGTACTGGAAATAAGATCTGGATATACCATCGCCTTTACCTCCATCCCCACTACCCACTCCCCTTCCGCGTCCCTCTTCAGGGACCCTTCTCATGAGCACCTCTTGATACAAGAAGTGAAACATCTCGTCCAAATAGGTGCCGTAGAACAGGTTCCAACAGAACACAGAGGGAAACAGTTCTACTCCCACTACTTTCTAACACACACAAAAAAAACGGGGGATGGAGACTCATCCCCAATCTCAGGAAACTCAACACATTCGTTCTCACCCACAAATTAAAAATCGCCACACTAATGTCAATAATCCCTGCACTGGAGGAAGGGGACTAGTTTTCAGCCCTCGACCTACAAGATGCCATAGGCGCCAACTTTCTCCGGTGCCAGTGGGTGCCTGCGCCCCCCACCCCGACTCCACCCTTTCCCCACCCCTGGCTCTGCCCCCATTCCAACCCCATCCCCAAAGTCCCCACCCTAACTCTACCCCATCTCTGCCCCTATTGGATCCCTTCCCCAAATCCCTGTCCCAGCCCCACCTCTTCCCCCAGTGTGCCGTGTTTCCCCTCCTCCCTCCGTGCAAATCAGCTGTTTTGCGGCACAAGTGCAGTGCTGGGAGGGAGGGGGGAGAAGCAGGATGTGGCGGCATGCTTGCAGAGGAGGTGGAGATAAGCTGTAGCGGGGGGGGTGGGGCGGGGAGCTGCCGGTGGGTGCTGAGCACCCACCAGTATTTTTCCGTGGGTGCTCCAGCTCTGGGGCACCCACGGAGTCGGCGCCTATGCAAGACGCATACTTTCACATAACTATACACCCAGCACACAGACAATTCCTATGTTTCAAGGTAGGCAAACACCACTTCCAATACAGAGAGCTACCGTTTGGATTATTCACAGCCCCAAGAGTCTTCACTACCCACCCTCCTCCCCTCTACTCTGGAGTTCTAAATTGGAGCTTTGCAGTAGAGAAGGAACTAAGGGCGGGGCACAAGGCACCTACTGCGCATGCACATCCTGACCAGACACTGCTACCAAAAGTCTCTGATCAGCGGTGCTGGGATGCTCTGCCTACAGTGGAGCACCCATAAGGACACGCATCTTGAAGAACCTCAGTTACTGCACAAGTTGAGTAACCTTCTCATCTACTTCTGAGCTAGTAGAAAATTGCAAAGGGGCTTGTGAAGCTGAGCTGCAGAGGGACCTGCCGGCTGGCAGAAATCTGGGGAAGGAGCCTGAGGCCTGCTCTGAAGCTCCTGCTCACAGTGATGCCAGCACGCATTGTGATTTTTGGAGGGATGGGGGAGCGACAGGATTTTAGCTGAGGGTGTATCCCAGTCTGTGATGACACAAGAAGCTCCACCCCTTGGGGAAATCTCCCTCTAGCTGGCTTCCTGCCTGCCCCACTTCGGTCTGCTGGGAAAGAACAACAAATCAGAGCTGCTGTAGGAAGAGATCTCTCCCCTTTCCCTTCTTCTTTGCATCCTGAAGCCATTTTAGTGTGGGTGGAAAGGGGCAACAGAAGAAGTCCAGTAGCTCAGGGTACATCCGTTCCCTCCTCCACCTCTGGTCCTGTGAGAATGAGACAGCTCCTCCGCTCCCCTCCACAGACCCTAGTCTAGGAATGGGTAGAGAGAGTGGAAGGGAGAGAGGGGACCCTGCTGTAGCCCCGCAAAGCTTCTGGGTGGTGCGGGGGGGGGAGGGTTGCAGAACTCCAGGAGGAGCAGAGGTCAGGCTGGGGGGCTGAACTGATGGAGTGTGAGGGGGACAGGCAGAACTGCTCAGTGCCCCAATTGATGTGGGGACTTGAGGAACTGGATTGATTTGGATGTTGTGGGGCCAGAATTAATTGTTGGGCAGAGGATGGGCAGATGTAGGGATCATTTGCCTGTAAATATGGGGTGGTCCTGGCTGCTTTTCCTACGTTTATCTCTCCAAGGACCCTTCAGATCTTTTCTTTGTCAGACAGGTGTACCAGCCCCGGAGTCCCTCTGCTAGAGGTCTCGTGGTCCTATTTCCTCTACTGCCCTTTTCTGGGGCAGGGTGTGAGTCCTCCAAGCTGCTTAGAGTGGCTGTGTGGGACGCAGCCAGTTAGAAAGAGGCTGCAGGGAAGCAGCCAATCAGGGCCCAGCAGGACCATATAAAAGGAGCAGCAGGGCTCAGTGGGCAGGGACTAGGGAGTGAAGAAGGTGCTTCTGGCTGGGTGGGTGGCTGACTGGCTGCTGGGCTCAAAGAAAATAAGGGCTGTGGGGAAGTGGCCCAGGGAAATGTAGTTAGTTAAAGGGAATGTGGTACATGCGTGCTACTTATAGGGATAAGTTGGGATCTGGGGTAGTGAATGGGGTTGCCCCCCAAAAACAGCCTCTGGGGAAGAGGCTAAGCCCCTGAACAAGGGAGTTTAAATAGGACCAGGGAAGTGCTGTATCTGTGTACATGGGTTTGCCGGGGCTCAACCCCCTCCGGGGCGGCAGGGAGCCATACCGGCTCCCTACACACAGTTAAGGTTCGGGGGAATTAGTCTGGCCGCGGGGTCTTCCTCAGCGGCCGCGGGGTCTTCCTCAGCGGCCGCGAGGTCTTCCTCAGCGGCCGCGAGGTCTTCCTCAGCGGCCGCGAGGTCTTCCTCAGCGGCCCTTGCGTTACTGGGACAATCACCGTAAGCCCAGGCCCTGGGTCAGGGTGGGG